ACTTGATACCACAAATTTGTGGGGGCCTCTTCGGCATTAGCCTCTTCGGCATTTAGCCTCTTCTTTCTTCATGCCCTAAACGAGGCTTTTTTTAATATTTACTCGAATGCCTCAACAGATATTTGATCTAATCGATGAACCTATTATTAACACTTTGCATTTAAGAAATTAAATAATATCAAACAAAAACAAAAACTTTGTCATACATTTTATGGTCTTACTTTTTTACTCGACCACTTTTATCTTTTATCTTTACTCTATTTTGTATTTACTATACATATATAAAAAATGAAGTATTTTCAGTAGGAATTACTAAAGAGCAAAGCGTTAATATACTTAATATTAACCTTTTAGATACTACACGCCACTATAGTGGCTTTCGCGGATATCATTTTTCAGGACGACATGCCACTATAGTGGCTTTCGCGGATATCATTTCTCAGGACGACACGCCACTATAGTGGCTTTCGTGTATGTCATCTCTTTGAACGACGCGCGGTTTCAAACAAAAAACGTAATAATGCGAACGTTTTATCTTACACTACAAAAAGAAATTAAAAATTTGATCCATCGAAGAATTTATTCCACATCTTTGAAAACGATGAACATCCATCGTCTTATCTGTAACATAAAATAATACAAAACGATAAGTTATCTGCAATATGATCAAAAATCATATAAAATAAAATCGAATAAAATGTTAATAAAAATGAATACTTACAATGCATTTCAACGGGATAAAGGTCAATGGCATCATGGTAATGCATCTCGCGTGAATCTAATGACGCGGTATTAACGAAAATAAGAAACTGTAGATGAGTTTCTTATCGTGAAACCGAAATTAAATTATACGGCGAACAACACTGAATCTAATTCGCGTTTGCTTTTAATTTATTATGCGCCCGATCACTGACTCTACAACTGCATCCAAAGACTGCTTTGCACACAGTCAWTGCAAGTATTAAAATCTTCATTGATGCACTGATTCTAATACGCGAACAGTCTGTGCGACTGTTTAAAGATAAAAATATAACTTTACTCGAACAAATTCTAATACAATTACTGCTTTGGTTGCAGTTAATTTAATATATAAATTTAAAAATTAACGCGAACACGACGGAATTTAAATTAACGAACGAACGTGCTTCTAAACCGTGATTTTAATTTTATTTAAACGRTCAAACATTCCCGTATATTGCTTCACGCACGATTGCAATCTGAAACAGAAATAAAAAACAATACCATTAATATAATTACTATTAMTAAAAACCATTAAAATGTTTGTGTAATTATGAAATACAAAAATATACTCATTTCGAATCTTCATCGAACGATGGGTCTCCTACCCTTAGAATGACGATGACAATGCACAAACACTGACTCTACAACTGCATTACATGCAGTTAATTCAATTAACACTAGATTTATGGACTAAGCCAATTTGATTCATTTCAAATTTTTTTGCTACACATATGCTACATATATATAAAATTAAAATATTATTTTTTTTAAATATATATTGATTTTTAATGCAATAATAAAATATATGTAAATATTAATTCCTCCCTTCTACCCACTTCTTCATTCAAACAATGTGTTTGTAAGTTTTTAAAAAATAGTTAACAAAACAATAATGATAAAATCTAGTGTTAATCGAATTTCCAAATGAATTTAATTAATAAAATGTAACACTATTCCAAYGATGATCTAAAATAGAAATAAAAACAAGATTATATACACCATTGTTTTATAAAAACATTTTTAAAATTATTGAGAAAGTGTTTAAAATAAAAATTGACTTACGTTTTTTCTTCAGTGATGAATGCACGATGAGTATCCTACCCTTAAGATGACGATGAGCACAAGTTTAAAACCGAATAAAAGAAACTTACGGAGTTTCTTTACGCGAAAAAACGAAACTTTTACACACGGCGAACAACACTGACTCTACTTTCCGATTCTTTTATATTTCATTTTTATCGATACAACACACGAATACTTCATTTCCTACGCGCTCGATTGCAATGATGTTCTGAAATAGAAAAAGAAAAAGAACAGTTATTATCATCGTTACAATAAAAAACCATTAAAGTTATCATAAAAATGTTTGATAAAAAAATATACTTACTTTTAATCTTCATTGATGACTGCAGGATGGGTGTCCTACTCTTAGGATGACAATGAATAAAATAAAATAAAAGAAAAAAATCTGTAAAAAAGCTGAAACATACTAAAGATTATATTATAATACAATATTCCCTGTTAATCATTTCTGAAGGCATTTCACACACTTTAAAAAATATTCTATCACAAAGATTCGATGTTAGATATAAAAAGTTGTCTAATAAACAATTTTTGAATGTTTTAATTAGATAACACGTTAGAAATAAAATTAATCAATAATTTAATACGTTACACGTTCACGTTAGATCTTAACTCACCGAAGGACGGGAGGGGAATGAGATACGTTACTGCTTATCCTTCGTTCAACGTTCGGCTGTTTACGTTTTGTTCTCTGCTGTCTTTCTTCTATTTTAACCTCGAGAAAGTCCTACTAATATACGGTAATATATATAGTAATTCATAATTGCACGTACGTTGAATGTTTTGTTTTTTATTCTCTCTCTCTCTCTCTCTCTCT